AATATAATAATTATAATTATACTATTAGAATATCAAAATTAAAACTTATTGTAAAAAATAAACCTATCAATTAAAACTATGTCTAATTTCTAAAATATCTCAAGTCATTATTAGAATTCATTCTTTCCTAATTCTTATTCTAGTCTTTTTAATTTAAATACTTTTTAACTTCTTAACCCTAATATAATTCTTTAAAGTCATGACTGCATAATCCAAAAACAAAAGTTACATGTTGTACCACTCCCCCCCTCTATCTTCGTTGTTACCGGCGATTGTTTGTGGTGGCGTCATCACATGTTTAGAGTTGCCCATTGAAAATTACTATTTGATAACCCTAATATAATTATATGGATTATCTCATTATGGAAAAGAATGCAAATCTTACCTTTTCTTGTTGTGAAATTGTTTTTAAATCTTTATGACAACTTCTATTTGCTACATTAATTACTTATTTATTTATTCATAATAAGCATCTTAATTTTTAGCTTGATATTTGAGATTACATAATATGACGTTACTTTTTGGATTATTTGAGATATTAAATTTTGTTAAGTTATTGAATATGGTCATTTTGAGATATGATATCTGGGAAGCCATTTATGTGTGTGTGTGTGTGTTTTTTTTTTTTTTTTGCTTAACATAATATTTAAATATAATTACTTATCATATATTTCTATTTTACTAATAATAGGTCTTTTGGCTTGCTAGCCCATTGGTTACTAGTTCATTGGCCTACTGGCCTATTAAATTTAAATTATTAGTGTTATTTGAATGTCTTATTGTTAAATAAGCTACTAAGTATACTATTGGGTCAGGTCAGACTTCTAAAAAGATCAGACTAAGCCTAAAATTTTAGCTTATATTAGGTAATAAGCCTAGGCTTAGGCTCTATTTTTATGTAGTAAGCTAGGCCCATTTAACCTCCGGCCTAGCCTGACCTATCCCATTCACATCCTTAATGGTGGTTTGGCTGCCATGAAAAGTAACAGTACAAAAAAAAGAAAATGACAATGGAGTACAGATCATACAGAGGAGAATTAGAAATCACTCATTTCACACCTAATTCCCTCTGACTAATAACATATATCCCCTAGTGGCCCCACACGAAATCCTTCTAACTTGAATTTGTTACCCACACTATGTTATTCTTGCATGCGCCCACAATTGTTGGATTTACTGCTACATCTCCAAATGATGATTCACCGTCATTTACCTTAATGTCATATTTCTTATTTATCCTATAATAAATAAATGAAATTTTATTTCAAAAATAAGTAACCACTTTACTCATTAAGTTTGTAGGTCTTTTTTAATTTTGTTCTTAATATTATATAGATTTTATTTTAATTCTTAACTTAAATATATTATGCTACTTCCTAAATAAGTTAACATCAATAATAATTAATTCAATTATTTATCTAATATGTTAATTTTTAAATTGATAATTAAGTAATGTGCATATTCTAAAAGATATCACATAATTTTTTAAATTTATATTCAAACTCAACTCTTTTTACAAAATCTTTTAACTTGTCATTTTTTTAGTTGTTCTAAATCTTCATTGATATCCATTATTGTCCATCAATATTAACTTAGTCAACACAATAAGTTGATATTTAATACTTGTTTAGTGGTTATAATAAAAATGAATCGGATAAGATTATTATCATATTTATTCTTAATTAAGTATTTGTTTGAGCTATAAGGATAGGATTAATTTATCCTATTATCTATCTCATCCTATTAAATTAGTGTAATTTTCTTAAAATATGACTAAGTTAGGAGAGGAAGAAAATGATACAATTATTTTCTTTAAATTACCTATAATTTATTTTACTACCTCTCTGTCTTGTCTTTTTCCTCTCCTTTCTCTACTAATATATTTTTATACATTTTTAAAAATATATTAAAAATTAAATAATTATTATATATTTTTAAATTTTAAAAATATTTTAAATTATTTATATATTTTTATAAATTAAAAATAAATAACTTATAAAAATAAAATTAATAAATATAAATAACAGAGTAATTTTGTTGTTTTCTACATATTTATATCTATATCGTATCCTTATTTCTAATCATGTTTGCATCAAATATTAGATATGATAATTATATCTCACCCTTGTTTAATCCTTTTATTTTATCTATCATGATTTTAGTTTGACCATCAAATGAGTATGAATTATGCAAATACTTTTATTAAGTATTATTAATATTTATTAATGAGAAAAATTAGTGAGATAGATTTTTCAATAATTTAAAAACAAATAATTTTTTTATTAAGTGAGAAAAAAATTTAAAAAAAAACTTACAAAATTAAGGACTAAAATAATAATTAATTTCCTAATTCAAGAAGCTAGCGACATAAAAACTTTTATTTCTAGTAGATACCACTTACAATTTATCTTGCTTTTGCATAATTATGAATTAGTTTCTAACATAGTTCGCTTAATACGAAGTGTTGATATTTTATTTGGATAATAACAACTCATCAAATCAACATGTATCCTTATCCCTTGACTTGGTTATCTTCCAAATTCTTTGTTTTTTACTAGCCAAACGTTATAAGACCCCTTTTATGGTTAACCTAAATATTATAAGACTAACTCAAGATTCATTCATCGAGCCCAGAAGTGTATGCCCCATTATTGACATTAAAGTTTTAATTTATTTTGTTCCCTCATCTGTTTATGACTTTTTTGTCCCCACTATTTTTCAATAATACTTATCAACTATTTATCTGGCGAGTTCTATTTTTCCATCTCTCTCTATATAATATGAGAAATTTGAATTTTATATATATATATATATATATCATTATTCACGTGACTCATATATTTTAAACTAATAATTTATAATAAGATTTAATGATATTTTTTTTTTACTCTAATATAAAATATTCCTCTCGCAAAATAAGACACTTACAAAAAAAACCTTAAATATAAAAAAGAAAAGGAAAATTCAAGTTAATCTAAAACAAATTATTATCAGAATTATATTGTTTAATAATTATTTATAAACATTAAATTTTAATGATTTAGTTATTAAATAAAAATTATATGTTGATATTATCAATCATGCATATTAAGATTAAATCTCTACTTGTAATAGTATACAAAACATTTTCCTTGTCCAATTGTTGAACCATTAAATAAGCAGCTCATTACTGATTGGCACTAATATTTTTGAATGATTGGATTTGCTTTGTAGCAATTTGTTCTTATTCCAGAGGTATTTTCACACTTGTTGTCTTTCGTGCATAAAATTCATACGCAACTTCTTGGTAATTCATTTTACTAAATCCAATTCAATGACTCTTCCAATTTCTGCTTTTAAAGCACTGTGGCGAAAAACCATGCCTGCATGAACCTTCTTGGATTGGGAAGATTCAAATGATTAAGAAGTATCATTATTAAAAATAAATAATGATTGCTTATAACAAGTGATAATCATTCATAAGTTTTGCGCGCACACATATAGTCAGACACTCTAATATAAAGCTTTACTGACAGCTATTATCCGTTTGGTTTTAATAAATAAATAGCCACTCAACAACATAGAATTTATATTTTTGAATTTGTTTTAATTTTATAAAATCAATGTTTTTTTCTATGGGTATCTTTTATAAGAAAAATAATGTTTATAGTAGGGTTAAACATTAAAAATCTAAATCATATTTTGCCACATTGTCAGAGATTAGTCATTCCCTTGTTCGTATTTAAATTTTTTTATTTTTTATTTATTTCTCCCAAGCGAGCCATAATTAAATACTAAATATGGTCACTTTCCTTATACGGATTCGCATCATAATTTACCATTTTGTGAAGGATTAGCTCATTCTGCTAGACTTAAATTCCATTGGTTATATGATTTTAGTTACAACTAATAACAATAGTAACCAGCAAAATAGCACAGATTCTTTTCAAGTTCATACGTGGTTTGTTTGATTAATAAAAACTTGAAGGCTTAAATAGCAAAAGAAAATTATTTGATTTTACAAGTGAATCCGAGCAACACAAAAGTGAGATAAATTAAGTATAGCACAAAAAAATAATCTTGTCTGCTCAAACACAATGTGGCACAAAATTTCTTGTATCAACCCAATCATTAACAATAGACTACACAAAAAGTTGTGTTATGACTCAGTTAATCGTCCTATGTTGTTCTGCTATGTTATGCATCAAACACACCTGAAGTCTAATATCACTTCGAAATTAAAATAAAAAGTATCATTTATTAATTAATCATGCCTTAATTTTATCAAAGAACTTTTGTAACTTGTAAGCCCTTGATGCACTTAACAGTTTCCAATAACTTCTGTATGCATTAGTTGTAAGAGTATCATTCCCCTTCTTTAATGGCTTTACATGACAGCCACGCCATTGCTTAATACCAACCTCAAAACAAAACGTGTAAGATTAAAATAGCGTGTGTATGGATAGTTTCGTTGTTCCATTGGGTCTAACTTTTTCTGGTAATATAATAAACTCAATCGTAACAATGTTCCAAAGACTACGAGTTTGATGCGCTATGATCGATTGATTGTCACATTTTAAAAATATAGATAATAATATAGAATTATCGCAGCTTAATTTGTCTTGTAGAACAACACATTCCCACTACTGTATTTGTCAACCAAAACTAACCAAAGAAGACATTGATGTCACCAAAGGATTTGAGTACACATCTAGAATTTTGTGAAGGACAAAATCAACTCCAAACATAAAGTTCCTTCTTGTCTAGCCAATTACCGTTCTCTGATCCTAGTTACGGTTTAAGGTATGAACCATGAAAACGAAATGAATGAATAATTCTTTTCACAAGTATACATTAAAAGCAACGAATTTAATTTGATATATGACACTACAATACTAACCAATGTTTATTTCCACATCAGAATTTTCAAACAAGTTTACTCTCGTTTACCATCAACCAATGTCTAAGTACATAAATCAGACAGAACCATCGATAATTGAGTTATGAACATTATAGAGGCAACAAATCTAGGCTTTACCCTCAACCCTGGCACGGGTGAGTCCAACGCATGCATCAACGAAATCCTTGTCTATGAAATCCGAAGAGAAAATCTGCAACCTATCTGCACAACCTTTGGAGAAGCACTGACTAATGAAGAGCCTTGCATAGCCATGAATGCGTTCAGTGACAGGTTTCACACACACCACAGGGTTATCTGCAACAGGTGTAACCGTGTTCTCCACCCTGTAGAAGTACTTTCTGGACGTAACAGGTTGTTGCTCGCTCAAATGCTTCATGTTGCTATCAAACTTGGTTGATGGTAAATCAGTGTTGATCCAGTTATCTCTCAGATACCCTTCACTCCAAAGGGAACTCCCAGCCTGAGGGTGTGGCGATTTTCTCGGCTTCCAAACGCAGATAACCCTCTTTGGTAACACCTGTGAAATGGTCTTGTCGAAGAGGTTTTCATCCTGAGGAACAAGGTAATCCCCCAGTTGATCCTGAAGGTACTTGTCGAATTCAGGTGGGTCATCGTGGCCAAACTCGGTTCTTACCTCGAAGATGATGATCTCGGATTGTGTTTCTGACAAGAACTTTTTTATGTCTTTGATGACAACATCGATGCTGTATGTGAGGAGGATTCCATGGCACACCCTGCGATCCTCTTGGACACGAATGTCAATGATCCTTGTGCCCATGACAAGCTGATTATAGATGGACAAGGATTGGCATTGAGCAAAAGGACGAGTGATACATGGGATGCCAATTTTGTTGGTAGCAGAATCATGGGTTCCTGGCCAAACAATCTTTTTTATCTCAACTTTCTCTGGGTTGAGTTCAGACAACCAGTTTTTTCTGTCTAAGGGATGGTAATCAGAGCCAGGGAAGTCTTGTCCAGAGCGTTTCAGATCAGAGAGAGTTTTCTTTTGTGTGTGGATTGCCTTTCTTCTCTCAACTTGTTTTGATACCTCAGCACCCATCTTTCAAAGACGAGGAGAGGGAAAGGAGGAATTCCTAGTTCTTTCTCTTCTTTGATTCTGTCTTTTGTTGGAGTTGGATGTTGTAGGTAATGACTTGGTTGGTGGGACTGGGATTTATTATAATAATGCATGGTATCGTCAGAATGGTTTTTTTGTTTTTAAATCAATGGAATAAACTTGATGAATTGGACAAAGGTTGAGAAATATGAAATGATTTCTTCACTCAATTTGTTTTTGGTTATCTCTGAGGAGAGGACTTTGGCTTTTGGTTTAGGAAGTACGCCTTTATAAGCCTGTTGTTGTCTTTAACGTCGTGGGAAACTTCGCTCTAATTATTGGCAAGGAGTTATAATCGAGATATGTCATTGGTGGTCCACTTGTATGGTTTTTGAAGCTTCTCTGACTTGGTATTTGTTTTTTGTTTATTCACTTGGCATGTTGGCTTTTTCGTTAGTTGTTACAATCGTTTTATTTTAATGATCGCGTGTCAAAAATTAAACATTTTACCAATTCAATTTTTTGATCGGCCATTAATATTTCTCCTTGACGGCATTAACAAACTAATGAATTGGATTTTATTTCAATTAGAGACGTGGATATTAGTAGTGTAGGCTATTTAGAGAGAATCTCTTCCAGATTTTCTCGTAACTTGCAAACGAGAGCCTCAAACTTCATATCAAAACCAGAGCTCATCTGTTCTAAGTTTTACCATCTGGTTTTGGTGTGATGATGAATCCTTGTCATGACTCTGATTCTAGTGTGGTTTGTCTCGCTTAGTTTTGTTTTCTGCTCATCATGTTTGCCCACTGCTACGTTATGTAGATTCAACAAGAACATCTCATTAACCATAAAGCAAGTAGTCTTCAGTTGTTTACCTCTACATCCTCTGCATGGATCAAATTGTAGGTTCATAACGTAAATTAAAGGAATGTAAAGAACTTGATGCTTTTTCTTTGACAATTGTGCATATTATTGCAGAAAAAACGTTATCTTTGGATATGTTAGCCCACCAAGAAAAAAAATATCAAGTTAATGAAAGATGTATTAATGCTTAGTAAGCTCCCACTCCTATAGGGGGGAAAATCATCATAAGGAATCCAATTCAATTCCCTGAGCCTTGCATAAATCACAACGTAGGATGAATATTTGTTAACTAGAACAACGTGAAATCTTCCACCGATTAGCACTAGGACTTCGATATTTAATTTCACAATAAGCATTCAAGTTCCCATGACAAACATTCCAAGCATTAAGGGAAGACGTGTGCTTCGAAAAAATAAGAAGGGAAATCATTGATAGGGGAAATTTTCTTATTTTATTCCGTTGGAGAAAAATACAAACAAAATAATGGGTAAGAAAAGGAAGCAAAAACTCATTCATGAAAATGAACTGTCTTCTTTGGTTCTACCCACCCCTGTTCTCATTCCTCAGTTTTCCTTTGAGGCAACATCTTTTAAGTATACCAACGTGGAAGTTAAACTCAGCAAAATCTAGGATCAGTAAAGAGAAAGTAAAAAAGAAAAAGAATAAAAACTTAATAAATGGAAAATATATTCCTGCTCTACAAAAAATGATCTACCAGAAAAAAATTTTTCTCTAACTTTCACATTTGGAAGCTAAGTAATGGGGCATGGTCCTCCATGTGGTTACTCAAGTGCCCCAAAGATGAGTATATTGTTTCCTTCAGAGGGTGTGACCCATCTAATACGGTGAAAGTATGAACTTTATTATCAATTTCAATCCAACTAATGGCCTGATCTTTCCTCACACATTTCTCATCCAAAATATGTCTGGTTTTCTCAACCAGTTTCCCTTTCCCAAGTGCAGCATATATACTTGAATGTAATGTGTAGGCAGCAGAGGAGAGCGGCTGCAATTTAATAAGGAATGCAGCTACTTCTCTTCCATAATATGTATTTCCATGCATTCTACATACACCAATTGAAGAATTCCAAACATGGTTCCCTGGATTACAATCTATCATTTGCAGATCCTTCACTGATTCTTTAAAATACCAAGCTCGATCCAAAAGATCAATTAAGCATGCATAGTGTCCTTGGTCAGGGACAACATCATGCTCACAAGTCATGGACGTGAAAAACTGAAGCCCTTCCTGAACAAGACCTGAATGACAATAAGCATTAAGAATGACAACAAAAGTAGCCCTATTTGGCTTCACTCCTGATCTTAGCATATCATTTAGCATCATAGCTGCTTCTATACCATAGCCATAGTGACCCAGAGCTGATATCATCATGTTCCACAACTCTACATCTTGCTTATTTCCAATGAAATTAAAAACTCGCCTGGCAGTTTCTATGCTTCCACATTTTGCATACATGTCAACAATTGCACTAATGAGAGTAGTATTAAGTTTGATGTTATTTCGCACCAAAAACGCATGTATTTGTTTCCCATGCTTCAGTGAAGCAATAGTGGCACAAGCAAAGAGGCAATTACTGAATGTACATTGATCAGGTCTAACTTGATGCCTGATCATCTTTCTAAACACTCCAAGTGCTTCATGACCCTGACCATTTCTAGCATAACCACTGATCAATGATGTCCACGAACAAGAATTCTCCTTAGGCATCTGAATAAACAATTCAGCAGCTGATTCCATGTTCCCCCATGCAGCATAACCCGAAAATAATGTCATCCATGCAGGAATATCCCTCACGGTCATGTCATCAAATAATCTCTTAGCATCATCCATCTTCCCACACTTGCCATAAGCATCAACAATTGAGCTGCATATAACCACATTGGATAAAAACCCGATAACTAAAACCTGCCCATGGATCTGCCTACAAAGTTCAAGCTCTTTCAATTTTACACAAACAATCAATACACCGGCAAAGCTAAACTCATTATACCCAATAGACAATCTCCTAAACCGTCCATAAAATCTCAAAGCCTCACCAAATCTGCCACTGTGTGCATACCCAGTCACCATCGTATTCCAAGACACATAATCCCTTTGAGGCATTCGATAGAAGAAGCTCCTAGCTTGCTTCATCATGCCCAATTTAGCATATCCAGAAAGCATATTGTTCCAAGTGTACAAATTTCTCACCTCCATTTTGTCGAACACCTTGCGTGCCTGAACGAAATCGCCGCAGCTGAAGTACATGCATATCAAATGGTTAGCTAAAAGCGGTGGAGGGCGTTTGAAACCTGTGAGCTTCAAATGGAGGTGAACCAACTTTCCCTCTCGATAAGACCTGGTTTTGGAACACTGACGCAGGAGGGTGGCGAGAACGCGAGAGGGTAAGCGAATGCCCTTGAGGCGGAAAAGGTCGAGAGAAGAAACGGTTTCGGAAAGGGAAGAGTTAGAGAGAAGGGGCTTTGCGATGCAAAGGTTGGAGTATTTGAAGCGTTTGAGGGTTGGGAACGATGGAGATGGCATTGGCATTGGAGAGAAAGACCATGTGAATGCGAAGTGTGTAGCTGGAACTTTAACAACTTCATCATCTATGTCTGTGACGATGAATCGGAATCGGAATCGGAATTGGAGGGAAGATTATTGGATTCGTTAAGCTAGGTCCGGCCACCATGGACGGTGGATCTTGGTGAAACCAATGAGGGTCAACACCACTGGCTGCGCCATCCTTCAACCGAACCGCATTAACCGCAAGCCCACAGCAATGGAAAAAGAAAAATTAAATTAAATTAAATTAATCAATTAAATATTTTTTTAAAAATTATAATTACATTGTTATATCTTGAAGAAATTTAAATATTGATTAAATAAAGGGAATAGAATAAATATTCTGTATAATGAGTAATTAATGGAGAAAATATTAGTTTAATTTGATATAATTTTTTTTTAAATGTGTCATAAAAATAAGAGGCATGCACATGTGAAAAGGAGAATGTGTATGTGACCCCAAAAAATTATTCTTTAAATTTGCTATATAACGAATATTCAATATATATATATATATATATATATATATATATATAAAATTTTAATTAACTAATGTTGAATCAAATATATATAATTGACTCATTTTACAGTTAAAATGTTTATTTAGAAAGTCATATAACGTCTAAATAAGTTAAGCCTCGTACATGTGTATTTTTTTTACTCTCTAATACAAAACACATATTTTAATAAAAATATAACTAAAATTAATTTGATTAAATTTTGAACTAAATGAACACTATATCTAAAATTTAAAATATATTATTTTTGAATAACTAATGTGAGAGGAAATTTAAAAGAAAAAAGAGAAAATAATATATTTTTAATTAAAAAATTATGTAATTTATATATTAAATTTAATTTTTATTTTTTAAAATAAACACCCACCCCACCCCAAAATATTGACACGAGAAAGGGTTTCAGCAGCTCAAATTAGCTAACATATCTTTCTGAAACTACGCCTAAACAGTCAAAACTATTATCCTCCTTACAGTAAATAGTAATTAGAAAACACTCCCAACAGTGTCAGAGGTATTTAAGAAAGTTTAGGTTTAGGTTCAACGTAAAAACTCTTAATTTGCTTTCAACTCAACAGAAGGGTAGAAAAGTGGGCTGAATGATCTCAACTTCACTCCATAATTAACATTTGAAGTTTAGTGATTTTAACACTTGGGCAAAAGAATTTTCCCCGATCACATCCAACTCAAACACAAGAGGAATGTTATAAATCACAACTGATTGAAATTTAATACAAATGATAAGGTGACTCGAGGAGTAAAGGAGAAACTAGAAAGGGCTAATGACGTCGTGAGAGTAATTTACGTGTCATGTGCTAATGGTGATGTAATGTTTTGTTTATCCCATCGTTGCTCAATAGTAGAAGGAATATCATATCTTCAAACCCATATATCTATTGTGAAGTGAAAGTGAAAGTGAAAGTGAAAGGAAGAAATAGATTAAAAAAATATTAATAATGTGATTGAAAAAGATTAAAAAATATATGAAAATATAAATATTATAATAGAAGGCCATTAACAACGAGGATTAATTAAATCGCGTTTTTTTAAGTTAGCCTAAAACCAAACCAAAAAAATTACATAGACTAAAAATGAAAAAACAATATTATATTTGAAATAATAATGATTATTTCTTAAAATATGTTATTTTACCTTTGTTTAATAATAATGATGTTTTTTTATGTACTCTTATTTTGTAAAATCTTAATTAAAATAAAAATACTGTTACATGCAAATTTTATGGAAATAATGTCAATCAAATCAACAATATTTTTTATATTATAGTGGGCCCAATATCCTAATGAAAGCTTTTCTGTGCCCCATACTGAATTATGGGGTTTTATTTGAAGGAAATCAGTTATATGTCGCCTGAATCATGCTTTTGTTTGTTTTTAATATTTTTTGAAAGATAAATTATTAAAAAAATACTTTTTAAAATAATTTATACTAAATTTATTTTTTATTATTTATAAAGAAAAAGTTGACAAGGAAAACTTATTTTTCATCATGTGAAATGAACGTGGACAAAGTAAGAGAATACGAAATAAAAGTAGACATCACTCACCATTGACAATAGCACCGTGCTTGAAAATGTTTATCGTTTGAATGTTGGTGGGAACATCTCCCCCTTACATGAGTGTAGCATGTTAAGGTGATGGAGGGGTGACACACTCTTTCTATATGCTATCGCAAGTGGAACGGTGGAACTTGATTTGAATTTTGGATGTTGATTCTGGCTTCTTTTATTTGGTTAGGCTTCACTTTTGTGAAGGGTTTAGCAACATTTTCGAGGTTAATCATAAGCCTATGTTCATTTTTTTATAATAAAAAAATAAGTTTTCCTTACCAACTTTTCCTTTAAAAATAATAATAATAATAATTTTTTATACTCTTTAGATGAAACTCTTTTAAAAAAAAATTATCTATCTAATGTGCAAAATTTAATACAATTGAGTCATATGTTTTAATCTTAATTTTATCTCTTTCACATGTAAAACTTAATATAAAAAAATGAAATTTTATTCTTTGCGTGGATAAAACTCACAATGATGTGACGAAAGATTTTAGACTAATAAATTGTTTTTTTTTAATATTATTTTAACAATTTATTATAAAATTTATTAAAAAATATAAAAGTCTCTGAATCAATATCCTATTAATAAATTATTAATAGTTTAACATGTTAAATTATAAAGAATAAAAAATATGTAAAGACAATTAAATATATTTTTATTGAATAAATAATTACAAATTTTAAAAAGCTATTTAATTAAACTACCTTGTCTCAATAAAGAAAATTCAAAATATAGATAAAAAATTCATATATTTAAATATCATGTTTTATGACATAAAATATGACTTGAATTTAAAGTTAAAACTTAAAAATACTAATAATACATTATGAATTTATTTTTATTTCCAAATAACGTGAAGATATTTTTAGGATATATTTCTTTTCACATTAAAGCCATATAACTTCCTTTTTCATTGGCTCTTTTAATTTAAATAATTATAAATCTTAGTCAATGTTAATTTTTGAAATCGGTGTATTATATTAATAAAAATGATGTATTTTGATTCTAATTAATTAATTAATTAATTTTTAAATATCTTATATCTTTAATTTGTTGTTATTTAATAAAATAAATATTCATATTGATAACAGAAATTTGTACTATTTTTTATTTATTTTTAATTTAAAATTCTATTGAAAAATTTAAAATAATTATATAATAAATGAGAAATTTACTAATTTTACATTAAATGAATTGAATAACATAAAAAAAAAAGCAACATCTGAAAAAGCAAAAAAAAAAAAAAAAGTATTCCCGAAAAATGGAAGCATTGATTAGCTTCCGTGATTCAATAATGGTGCGTTGGGGTGTTATTCTCTATAATCAAAGTTGGAAGTGTCAACATCGAGGGACGGTAGAGATCTGCCACTCAACTTACCCATGTGAAACGCAAGGTTTTGCACGCCACATGATCAAATCTAAATCAGGAAATCCCTTTATTCCGCTTTTCATCCACGTCACCATGATTGGCGCATTTGACGATGATTCCTATGCGCCACTCCCCACCGTCCGATCTATATCCCTCACCCCCATCTCCACCCGTTCATCGGTCCTTATCTTTTTATTTCACTCTACTTCACTTCAATTGCCATTGCTACACCTACACGCTCATGTTATGAATACACTTTCTCCCTTTCTTATCATTTCACCCTAATTCACTACTCACCCTTTTTACACACTTCTCTCTCCTCTCTCTATCTCTCTAATCCAGCCATATACAGGTTAGCATTTCTGCTATTATCTGCTTTTTATCTAATGCTTTTTTTCGTTCTACTTGATTTTATGATAAACCCTAATCCAATCCACCACTATGGACTTCCTTCTCATTACTCTTTTCTGTTAATTTATTACTCTGCACCATTAGCATTTCTTTTTAATTGTTCGTTATTGTGTCCTCTATTTGCAACGTTTAATGTTATATTGGGCATCGATTTTAATTAATTATTATTGTTGAAACTTGCAATCGTGAATAATAATAATCTTGATGTTTCCATACTTCGTTCCGCCGTCCCTCTCTTTTCTTACCATTTTCGTGGTTTCTGAATTTTCCTTTCCATGTTTTGATGAATCTAGGGCTTTTAAGTGATATCGTGGATTTGTTATGGATCATGGGGTTGATGGTTTTGATGGCAGAGGGGAGGGAGAGAGCAAGAGAGTGGCGGAAGGGGTTTCCGAAGAGAGTATAGCGGAGCCTGACATGTTGAAGGATTTAGAAGTAGACGAGGTTTATGAGGAGGCAATGGAGCCGGAGGAGCAATTGCATGATCGGGGATCCAAACTCTATCCGGGCGATTGTGTTGTTGATAAGCACGAAGATACTGACACTGGTAGTGCATTGACTTCAGCTTTGGTGGATGAAAATCCGGATGCTGCCCAGGAGCCGGGTGACCAAGAGGATGCTACTGGGGTTGATACTGAGTCTGGGAAACTTGGGGAGACTGATTTAACTGCTACACTGGACTTGGAAAGGGATGGGCAGGGGATTGATAGTGTTCATCTGAATGGTGTTGATTCTGGAGGTCCCGTAGATGGAGAATTTTGTGATGAGTCCCATGGTACGAGGGATGATAATGTGAAGAGTAACGATTGGAGTGATGGAAAGGAAGAATCTGACTTAATTACTGATGGAGAGATGTTAGCTAAGGAGAATGGAGCCATGGTGGATGGAAACTCTGAATTGATGAATGACAGGACTGAAATTGATGATTCTGAATTCATGACTCCTAGAGAAAATGGTGGCACAAACATGGAAACCGGAAGCATAGACAAGGTGGACTATGTTGCTGATGAGTCTAATGCTGAATCTGAATCTGAATGTAACGAGGTGATTACAAACCAAGGTTCTGTTGCTACCAATTTGAAGGACAGTGTCTCAGATCCTGAACTTAAACATGACAAGATAGAGGTAAAGTTAAATGCTTCAAGTGAACCTTCTAGTGAGATTCAAGATGATACATGCCCAGAAGTACTTGACAATTTAGCTCATATGAATGTAGAACATCATGGTGAAGTAAATAGTGAGATGAAGGATGATGATTCTCTTGGCACTAATATAAGCCATGAGGATAGAAATGGCGAAGAAATGGGTGTATGTGGCATTCAGAGTACTGAATCAAGAGATTATGGAAATGAGGATGCTCAAGCTGGAAGCCTTTTGGAAAATTCGTCTACTGAGGAGACACAGCCTGTTCAGGCTAGTGCAGCTGATCCAAAGGAAGCAAATAATAAGGATTATCAATCTTTGATTCCTGATGAACAACATAGGCATTCTGACAAGTCTTCTGTGGTTGAGGAGCCTGAAAAGAAACAGGGGAAAAATATACAAGAGAAGGAAACCACTCAATTGACTAGAGAACAAAACGTTCAGCCTCCTGCAGGAATTTCTTCTTCATCTGAAAAATCTGCTGGTGCTGGATCCCCTCCAGTTCATCCAGCTGGTCTTGGCCGGGCAGCCCCATTACTGGAACCGGCATCTCGGGTAGTACAGCAGCCTCGTGCAAATGGTACTGTATCTAATGCTCAGTCCCAGCAAATGGAAGACTCCTCGAGTGGGGAGGCTGAAGAGTATGATGAGACGCGGGAGAAACTTCAGATGATCAGGGTGAAGTTTTTACGACTAGCTCATAGGCTTGGGCAAACACCCCACAATGTTGTTGTAGCTCAAGTTCTGTATAGATTAGGACTGGCTGAGCAACTCAGAGGAAGGAATGGGGGGCGTGTTGGTGCTTTTAGTTTTGATCGTGCAAGTGCAATGGCGGAGCAGCTTGAAGCAGCAGGTCAGGAGCCACTTGATTTCTCTTGTACAATAATGGTTCTTGGAAAGACAGGAGTTGGTAAAAGTGCTACCATCAATTCTATTTTTGATGAGGTTAAGTTTAATACTAGTGCTTTTCATATGGGAACAAAGAAGGTTCAGGATGTTGTGGGAACAGTGCAGGGCATTAGGGTACGGGTCATTGATACACCAGGACTGTTGCCTTCCTGGTCAGACCAGCGAAGTAATGAAAAGATTCTGCACTCTGTTAAGCACTTTATTAAGAAAACACCACCTGATATTGTGTTGTATCTTGATAGATTGGATATGCAGAGCAGGGATTTTAGTGATATGCCACTCTTACGCACAATTACTGAAATTTTTGGGCCATCCATTTGGTTCAATGCCATCGTGGTTTTGACTCATGCAGCATCTGCTCCACCAGAGGGCCCTAATGGTACTGCTTCCAGTTATGACATGTTTGTTACTCAGCGTTCTCTTGTTGTACAGAAAGCCATACGTCAAGCAGCCGGTGATGTGCGTCTCATGAATCCTGTATCATTGGTGGAGAACCACACTGCTTGTAGAACAAATAGGGCTGGCCAGAGAGTGTTGCCAAATGGCCAGGTTTGGAAACCTCATTTGTTACTTCTATCTTTTGCCTCTAAAATTCTGGCTGAAGCAAATGCCCTTCTCAAGTTACAAGATAGTCCACCTGGGAAGCCTTATATAGCTCGAGCAAGAGCGCCTCCATTACCTTTTCTTTTGTCAACCCTTCTCCAATCAAGACCACAATTAAAATTGCCAGAGGAGCAGTTTGGTGATGAGGACGGCCTTGATGATGACCTTGATGAATCATCAGAATCTGACGATGAAACTGAACTTGATGACTTGCCACCATTTAAACCTTTAACAAAGGCCCAGGTGGAAAAGCTGTCTAAAGCTCAGAAGAAAGCATATTTTGATGAGTTAGAGTATAGAGAGAAGCTTTTAATGAAGAAACAATTGAAGGAAGAAAAAAAGCGACGGAAGATGATGAAGAAAATGGCAGAAACAGCCAAAGATCTGCCAAGTGACTATAGTGAGAATGTGGAAGAAGAAAGTGGCGGTGCAGCTTCTGTTCCTGTTCCTATGCCAGATTTGGCCTTGCCTGCTTCTTTTGATTCTGATAACCCTACACACCGGTATCGTTATCTTGATTCATCAAACCAGTGGCTTGTGAGACCTGTTCTTGAAACTCATGGTTGGGATCATGATGTGGGTTATGAAGGGTTAAATGTAGAAAGACTGTTTGTTGTCAGGGATAAGATACCTTTATCGTTCACTGGTCAGGTTACTAAGGATAAAAAGGATGCTAATGTTCAGATGGAAATAACCAGTTCAGTTAAGCATGGTGAAGGCAAAGCAACTACATTAGGTTTTGATATGCAGACTGTTGGGAAGGACTTAGCTTATACATTACGCAGTGAAACAAGATTTACTAATTTTAGAAGAAATAACGCAACTGCTGGTCTCTCATTTACTCTTCTCGGTGATGCCTTATCAGCTGGAATGAAGATTGAAGACAAATTGGTTGCTAATAAGCGATTCAAGCTGGTTATTAGTGGTGGTGCAATGGCAGGGCGTGGCGACATTGCTTATGGTGGCAGTTTGGAGGCTCAATTGAGAGATAAAGATTATCCTCTTGGGCGTTTCTTATCCACGCTTGGGATTTCTGTTATGGATTGGCATGGAGATCTTGCTGTTGGTTGCAATGTGCAATCCCAGATCCCAGTTGGACGATTTACAAACCTCGTTGCCCGGGCAAATTTGAACAACCGAGGAGCAGGACAAATAAGCATTCGATTAAATAGTTCAGAACAACTTCAAATTGCTTTGATTGGTCTCATCCCTCTCCTAAAGAAGCTAGTTGGTTATCCTCAACAATTGCAATTTGGTCAATAGTGATGATGAAAGTATTACGTCATTTAAGCTGCAACACTTGCGCGGTAATAGGGAATTACTCCAAGATGGCATCTTTTGCTGGTCGCCATAAATTGAGTGATACTGAGTTGCGATTTTATGTTTTCTATATACCCAAAAGTACGTCTTATTTGGTCATAGCAGTAGTTTCCTTTGTTAGCTATTCTCTTTTGGTGTTTTTGTTACTTATGCTACTGGACTACAAGAATTGCATCTTTTTTATTCTTGTCTTCTGCATACATACTTATGACCTTGTAAATTCTTCTGCTCTGGCTTAGAATGCTGTTACTTGTATTTTCTCGGTTTCTCCATATTCTATTACCCGTTCTCTTAGTACTACTGCCTTGCATATAATTTTTGCTTGTTGATTTTGAACGTTACACCTTTGATACATCCAAATTAATGCTGCTGCTACTTTAAATTATTAGAAAATGTCATTAGGAACTCTCTGCCAACAAAGTTCCAAAAGATCACATGCCTTGCCTTGGGTCCTTGAAAGAGTACTTTTTTTTTTTTTTGGGTCAGTAAAAGATAACATTCTTGAATCGTGCAGAAACATTTTTTCCAAGAATTATTGATCCTCTATTGGGCCATTTTTTTCCCTTCTCGGTCTTTTGTGGTAGTCATTGATGCGGGCAAATAGTCGGCAAGCATACTAACAAGCAGTACACGACAAGCTGGACAAAAATAAAACTTCGTGACGAGGGTTCATTTCGTCCCAGTTTTGAAGTATTTCAAGCGAAATGTCATCAATTAATGCATTATCCTATTCGAATGTGTAAGCTCATTGGGGGTCACCTATGGCCAAGTCAAGTAATGGTTGCTTTTTATCGTCATGTAATGCAAATCTTCAAGAGTCACTCTCGAGCACATTTAAATTATAATACTTTAGGGAGATGTAATATGTCCCCTTTTAGTTTTACACATCAACTAACCTTGACATTTGCCGCGAGCATGCCATGTGATCTGTGAAACATATTGAGGTAAAGTTTCAATACCCTAAAGTGACAAGTCTTCACTGCGACGAAGCTTTATCAAACCCCCATGCCACTACAATGCTTCCCTGTTGATTTCCCGCGGTTAACAATATTTGCGTTTTAGATAGTTATTTTCGTAGATACAAAGCACACCCTTAGGTAGATTATAAATGTTTGATTAGATATTCTTAAAAGGTCACGGGATATCATAACAACAATCCAACACATAAAAGACGTAGCAACCCAAGACAACGCAAAAACCAAAATGTTCGTATTGGTTGGGAAAATGACAGAAACAAAATAAAGATTTTATTGATTGATGAAGCCCAACATGTGTCCTGGTGTGTGCTAGCGCAAAAAGAAAACCTGACGACAGGGGGATACATGAAACAGAAAAACTATTAACTACATGTATATATATCAAAGAAACATGGGCGAAATTTAAGCCGTTTAAACTAATAATATTATTCAATGATTCGTATTAAAAATAAAAAGTAGTTGAGCAACGCAAGTTTAATGAACTAGTGTAACGTTGTAGCCGACAATAGCATCGCCGGTGGTGGGATCGAGCCAGTGAGTCTTGGCAAGGGCATAGCCACGTGCCATACGGAATAGGCCCGTGCCACCCACAATGGGCATCTCACGGACTGGGTTCATGGCGGAGTTTTTTCCCATAAGGGCAAACGAGCTACCATTATATGGGCCGTCTGTGAAGGAGAAACTCATGGCCATCAAAAGCCCGATCTCCTGCTGACACGACGATCCATAAAGCCCTTGGGCCCGGCCCACTAACTTGGACGTCAGGTCTGATGTCTCGGTTAGCGGGTCATCCGCCATCATGATTGCCCCGAACAGTGTCGTGAATGACTTGTTTTTGTCGACCGGTTGAGCCACCTGAACCGCACTTGGGTTTTTCCCACTGAGCGTGTCGTGGAAGAAAAATTGCAGGTTCGTCACTGTCTCCTTATTCTCCCCTTCAAAACTTGCACCCCAATTCCCTGCCTTCAGTTTTAAGCTTTGGGTGAGTGGCATTGCACCCATTATAGTTATCGTAAGCACCATCACCAGCACGCTTTGCTTTAGCATATTTGATCCTTGTCTTGTGATCTCCTTCCTCTTCTCCAGGGCTGTGGCTGTGGCTTTTCCTTTTCCATGTGTGCCTTGTTTATATAAATGGGTCACGGTAGCATTTCTTCTTTCCATTTTTCAGTTGTGGTAGACTTTTTCTAGATATGTTGTTGGGTACGTGCTAGAAGATTTTGTTTCTGCTCAACAAAAACTCAAAAGGTCGCTTAGCAACATTGGTTTTTCAAGGTCGAAGGGGTCCACTCGCGCATGCTTGCTATTTCTTTTTGAATTAATGGCGGTGGCGTGGTCGTTAAGCTGCTTTATCAACCGGAGAAAACATGAGACAGGTTGATAAAATGGTGGTTTTGAATATTGTAATTGGTAGTGCTTCAAGAACTTCGGCACATGGCCTAAAGCTGAATAATTTATGCCAATGCTATTTTGTATTGAATTTTTTTGAGAAGGTTCTAAATTACGATGTCAATTGTTAGGTAGCTAGGCACTAGACATTCTTCCCCTTCAATGGATTGAGGAAATATTTCGAAAAGTTTATTTTAACTTATGATTATGATGTGTAATTTTATTGAATAATTCTAAACCCTTTAAAATTATTCTCCTACATATTCTTTTTTTATTGAATACAAAGGTTAAATATATTTTATGTTTTCAGAGGATTAAATGCATCTATATTTTTATTTGATATATATTTCATAAAATATTAAAGGGATCAACAAGAAATAATATATAATTAATAAGAGAATATAGCATAACTTAATTTTATTAACCGTGCTTGGTAGTATGAAAAATATTTATTTAAATACAAATTGAGAAAAATTATATAATAATAAACTTGACCTTAAATCTTCACTCAAAACTTTAAGGTACGAGTATATGAATCTTTTCATTTAAACGTACACTGTCTTTGTAAAAAATATATTTGTTAATTTCAAATTATTTAAGCTTAATTATTTTTTAAAGCAAGCTAGTCTTAATTTTTGGTCAACCTAAAGTACTCTTTTAAGCAAAGTCTCGGAATCAAAAGGTAGCATATTACAACTGAGGCCCATGTTAAAGGTGAAAATGTTGACTTCAAGATGATACTAAAAAAGTGCTTAATTAAGTCATTCTATCAAAATGAAAACACCTACCTTCCTATCTCTAGCGGTAACGTCGGTGCCGCGGTGGTGACCAAGAAAACACCTGCAAATTCCAAAGACACCTTCTCTTGTTCTTTTTAAAAGTAAAAAAAATAAAAATTATCTTTAAATTATAAAAAAATAATTTTATATTATTTTTAACAAAAATTTCTCTAAAAATTTACTTAAATTGTACTAAAATCTCTTATTGATTTTAATTCACGTCCTTTCATTATATGTCTTAATTTTTTAAAATAATTTTATCCGAATTATTCATAGTATGTTTTCTTTCTTCTTTTTATCGGGAAGATAAAATTTGAGACCATCTTTGATGAAATTTGAGTATTTGCTTCCTGAATTAATATCAATACTGTACTAAGACACTTATTTTTATACAGTCACACCTAAATTTGTCTGATTTTTTGTTCGGGGCAGGGGTGGAGCTTGGGGGTGAAAAGGTTGAGTGATAGGGTTGTAATTTTTGTGTGTGAGAAAAATTGTATATTTTTTATATTTTAAGTCCTTCTAATTTTATTAATAAATATTTCAAAAAATTAACCTTCCAAAATGTTTCTTTGAATAGACCTAGACATGGATATGTACCAACAAACATAAATCATATGCATGAATGAAGGATTATATGTCAAAAACATAAAAAGAAATTAAATCTTCAAGAAAATCTAAACATTTTCTCAGTTTAGAAGTAGGGTCATTGACATAGTATCTTCAGAAGCTTCCCTTTGTGGGGGCTCCAACCTCCTTACGTGGATTTTTCTTTTTCTTTGTCTTTTTTTAATAATTTTTTTTCTTTTGTGAAGTTATTATTCATATATGATAGATTTTTTGTTTTTTTATGTTAATTTTTCTGTTGAATCTTTATTTATTTATTTACCATTTATTTTATATTTATCTTTTTTTTCAATCACATTTGAAATTCATTGTTACAATGCATCAAACATATGAATATTACATTGTTGTAATGCTTCTGATATTTAGTATGTTTTGATTATAAGTGTGGTTAGACTTTCTTAATCTATTAATATTTTATCAAAAAAAAGAAAAAAGAAATAATCTTTTAAATGTAAGAATTAAAATTATTTTTCATAAAATAAAAATATTTTTAAAGATTAAAATAATTTATTTAAGCCTGAGTTATTTATAAAATAATCTGAAGTTTTGATAAAGACAACTTTACTTAGGATACATCAAACATGAGTGCACGATGAGTACAATTGAACCCTTATTAAAGGGAAAAAGAGTCCAAATATGCAAATTTGTTCAAGTAAATGAAAAGCGGGTAGGTGGCTTCCTTGTCTTAGTAGCTTGTTCAAAGTCATAAGCAATTTCAATTAGTTTAGGCTCTGTTCCCTTTAACCCTCCAAAATAGATTCCGAATGGCATTCCATTTCTATAATACCCAGCTGGGACTGTGATTGCAGGATAGCCTTCAACAGATAGCACCATTGAAGCATTGGAACCTATAGTCACTAGAGCATCCAATTCATTCTCCTTCATTAGCTTCTCAAACCCTTTTTGTGATAATTGCTTCAGCAACTTTATTTCCTCAATTTCACCCTCTCCAATGCCTTTGGTCATTTCTGATGCAATAAAGCTATCCTGACCATACTCATTTGTCTTTTCCTAAAAAAGAAGTGAACACAAATTATTATTGTAATATCAAATTTTTGCCAAAATTCTTTTAATGCTTTGCAAATGATACCAGCAAGTATTATAATATATATTTTTTAAAAATTATATGAAATGTGTATAATCATTTTTAAGAAAATAAAAAAACTAGATTAAGAGACAAATATTTAAAATAATAAAGTACGTATACATAATTTATTTAAAATAATTTAAGATTAAATTTTAAAGTAAAAGATATTAGAATAACACATGTTAATTCACTTTTAAGAAAGTGTATTTTAATATATAAAGTCCTTGAAAATATTTAAAATTTAATTAGACTATTTTATCGAGAATCTTATTCACAAAAATTAAATTGATATTTGATAATCAAATATATGGAAATTTGTTACATAATTAAAAAAATTTAAGTAGGTTCTATTTGTGACTAATAAGAAAATCTCATTCCACGCTACTCTCCATCTAAAAATGATAGTATATACTTACCAAATTAGGATAATTAATGTTGAATTTGATAATCTCAGCTAATGATCTCACAGGAGAGTAAACGAGCTCTTGCAAATAATTGTTGATGGACAACTTGAACTCTGCCAACAAGAGTTTAAGTTCACTACCTTGAAAGGGGTTGAGAAGGATGCTAGAATTTTCCATTTCCAAATTATCTACCACTGTTGCGCCTCTTTGCCTTGAATTAAAAAAAAATAAAAAAAATCAACATATTCTCAATGTTATGACTTACGATATATGAAATTTGAAAGGGTCGATAATATGTGCCAATAAACCTTAGTAAAGACAAAAGAGTTAATAATATTTAAAGCAAACAATGAGCATGCATCAACATTAATGTGAATTTTATTTTTACCTTAACACATTTAGATGATGCTCAAAGATGGAAATGGCATTGGAGCCATTATAAGGATTAAAAAATGGATTTCTCACAACACCTAACTTCTTTCCTTTGAGCCCATCTTTTTTGAGGAATTGCTTATAACCACCAGGGGGTATAAACTTGGCTGCTGACTTTGTTGCTTCATAATCTCTTGGGTCAAACCCAACAATTACATCAAGTACATGAACTGCATCTGAAACTGTCCTACATATCGGCCTATGGAAAAATATAAAACAAGATTGAAAATTCAAATAGAACATTTATATACAATGGATTCAAGAAAAATAAAAGGTTCTGGGCATTGTCAAAATGAAGCAATTTCTTACCCAATTGTATCTTGACGAGGTGAAATTGGTACAACACCAGCCCTACTAGTGAGTCCAACTGTGGGTTTGAGTCCCACTACCGAATTGTGATCAGCTGGACAGATAATGGAGCTACCGGTTTCAGTCCCCAAAGAAACTGCAACCATGTTTGTTGCCACAGAAATGGCTGATCCAGAACTAGACCCACATGGACTTTCCGACTCCACATAAGGATTCTACTTGTAAAATAGATAAATTAATTAACTAATTATACACTATTTAAATGAAATAATCTATCATTAGTGTATGCCTAATTCTAAGTTAGCACATCACAGTTATGTTGGCAACTCTTCTACCCCTTCTATACTATACGTGAATCATGGCATCTATAGGCGTAATCGCTTATCTTGATCAAATTTTCTAATTGAGCAGAAAATCGCCTTTAATAGTTGATCAAATTGCTATCCTCTGTTAAGGCACGTGAACAACAAATTATTTAAATCACTTTACACGAAAGAGAACAGTAACTATTTTACATTCTGCTTTGCACAATTTCCGCATTTCTACTTTATATATATCTAAAACAGAACTGTAATATGTCACAGAAGGTTTTAGTATGAAATTGATATGTTCAGCATGGATTGATATTACTGGTTAAACAACAATTCAAAAACTATAAAAATATTTGACAGAAATCAACCACAACAACTATTTGTAACAAAAGTAGAAGAGGAGAAGTGATTAAGTGAATAACGATGGTGAGTTACTAACCTTGGCAAGTCCACCTCTAGCGCACCAACCCAGAGGCATGGTGGTGGAGCGAATTCCGTACCACTCGGAGAGAGTAGCTTTGCCCAGAATGATGGCACCGGCGTCTCTAAGCCTGGCCACCACGTGCGCATCACGTGCAACCTTTGCCCCTAACAGGGCATACGATCCAGCTGTGGTGTTGAGCTTGTCCTTGGTATTGATGCTGTCCTTGAGTAGCACAGGAATCCCATGTAGCAATGGACGCTCCTGATCTTCTTCCCTTTCCCGATCAGCCTGCTTTGCTTGATCTCGCACGTCCG